CCCTTTTTTTTTTTTTTTTTTTTATTTTTTTTTTTTTTGGTATTTTTTTTACCCCCCCTTTTTTTTTTTTTTCCATTCTTTTGCTCAGTTAGATCAGCTCCTTTTGTCAGGATGAGTTTAAATCTGGGTCCACCGTGTTAATCACCCCCCTTTCTTCTTTCTGGCACTTCCCCTCCAGGCATTTTGCCTCTTTAGGAGATTAAGCGACCAAGTCATCTTGTTGCTCTAACATGTCCTCACTGGAGCAACATATTAACACAACTCCTCTGCAGAAGAGCCCTCTTTAGAAGTTTGCTGCAGGGATGACAAATTAACCCAGCATGGTGTCCCACACATCTATCTCAGTACAAATTATTAGTGTAATAGAGGTTTTAGTTATGCATTTATCTAGTAATTATTGAACGAAGCTGAGCAATCGTGGCCCTTTATGGGGCCAGCTCGGTGGGTGGTCTTACAGTTAATTTAGGATAGGACTGTCTAAGCAGTTCACTCACACACAAATTAGCTGAACAGCCTGCTCCTTTAAATATTTCCTATGTCACAGGCTAACTCTTGACAATACAACAAAGGTAGAGTTTTAATTACACGGTCGCTGACTTTTGTTTAGCTGGAGATTTAACCCTTTGCAGGCTCCCTCCCTGCCCAGGCTACAGCAGTCTGGGGATTGTGTCATGGCTAAAGCCTGACCTTGAGGCCATCTGTTGGGAAACTGCACCAGGTTACTCCAAAGTGAGTGCAGAAAAATCAAAATCTTCCCCTGCTCAGTCAGCTGTGCTGACATTGTAAACTGGATCATGTGTACTGGTCTGATGGTCAGCGTTGTGCTGTTCATGGCCTCACCTCCTCTTCCTCACCCTTTGGTGTGGCTCTCTGGGCTCTCTGACATCACCACCCCTTGCTCTGAGGTGTCTGTGTCAAGCTGCACTGGATTATTTTTGTCAAAATTCAGAGGGAAGTGGAAGGTTACACCACTGTGTGCCAGCTGACAGCATCAAGAAGCAGCCACAGAGACTGGTACAGACCAGGACATTATGAAATGTCTTTTCACAATGTACACCAGGAACCATCACTTTGATTCACTTGGAGCTGGCTGACAGGACAGCGAGCAGGCACCAGGACTTTGGTGACCCAGTGGAGGATTTTGATAGAGAAGGACACAGTATCTTTCCAGATATGTGACATAATGGTTTTGCCACTTTGGCATGAACAGAGAGTACTTGTGCTGCAGCTTTTCCCTGGCAGGCCTTGTCCTGATAAAAGTCTAAGTGGCAATGGTAATTATGGAGGAAATTAATATAATGGAAACCAGTCCACTAGTTGACTTTCATCCCTTCTTCTCACACACCCCCTTCCTTGGGTTCTTGCCTTCGTGCTGTATTTCTTGCTTTTTGTAATTGTGTTTCTCCTTCATTTATCTTCCTAACACACCATCTCATTGTTATTATTTTTTTTCTTTCCTTGCCTTTTCTTCCTTGCTTTTTTGGCTTGCAGGACTCACACTGTCATATTCTGTGGGAATGCTTGAATGCTCTGCAGCACAGGCTGCTGTGCATCCTGGCTTTACAAGATCGTGGTCAATTTAATGTTTCAGCCAGCTCCAGTTATAAAGTCACCAGAGTGTAAGTAGCAATACATGGAAGCCTAAAACCACTTATGTAAATACTGCTGTCACCCATAGTATTTAAATCCTTCACTGTCTGGTGAAGAGTTCAAGTGGTCTGGGAAGCTCTGTGAGATGCCAGCAATCCACAATGGCTTTGCAGTGCTAGAGTGCTGTGGTGAGCTATGCTGACCACCAAATAATCTCATTTTTAGGTAACAAAAGTATGCCTGAGTAGGAGAGAGATCTGGCTGCTTGAATTTTCAAGGCTTTGAAATAAATTCTAAAACTGATAGTGATGCTAAAGCCACCCTATAGGTGATCAATTTACCATCTGCCAGACACTGAATCCTAACCACGCTGGTCCAGAGAAGACATATGGTGCATTCATAGAGTCATGCCCAAAAAACTGCCATCATCAAGTGAGGCTCCATGAATCACTTTGCTAGCTTATCACCAAAGAAACTTGGATCTTGCCACCATCTGTTGGAAGTACTGAGGAGTCACTGAAGCATTGGCATCCCTGCGCCAGCACTCGCTGCACATCTGGTCTGCTGGTCAGCCAGCTCGGATCCTCTCTCCTGGCTACTGCCCAGCTGGGCTGGGCACTGCCAGCAGCACCAGAGCAGACAGCCTTCCACAGCACAGCACATCCAGGCAATTCCATGGGAGCAGAGGTTTTCCAACTGGTTCACTGGGTGGAGCACCTTACAGCTAGGAAATCCTCTCAAGGATCTTACTCCTCCTCCAAGGAAGTTTTGTTTCCAAAATGTCTCATTGTGGGGATCACAGGGAAGGGCATTCAGTATCCTGGGATACCCCAGCATCAGACGTGCAGTGTATTCCAAGGGATGTTTGGAAGTGTGTGAAAGATTCGGGAATATTCCCGAGAAGTTATAGATCACTGGTTGTCAATGACAACACCTGCCATGAATAGTCTACAGCTTCTTCTCTGCTGTCTATTTTGATCATGCTTTACAAATGCATCTCATACACACATCCAAGTGATAAACTTGCACATGCGAACATGAGAAGGAGATGGAACCTCCCTGTGATCGTGGTGTTGGCTGAGGAGCTTACTCTGATGGTGACCTACTTACTCACAACTCCCCATTCTCTGAAATCTCTCTGCAGAATGGAGATTAAATCCTGCTCTTTGTTTTCCAAGGACCCCTCAGAATGACCTGCCCCTGACCATTTACATAATGCACCTGTGTCCAGAGGGAATTTAGCCTGTGTGTGCTGTACCATCATTTCTGCAGAGGCACAACTCCCAGGAACTACTGGTGGAAGTGAATCTCTCAATTATATCCTCTTATACCACAGCATTATGCTCTTTATGTTGCCACTTCTGATACCTGAAAAGCTTCTCTCTTCTGCTTACTGTCCCTAAAGTACGCCAGAGGCGATGGGATAAAGAACAAAGCTGGATTTGCAGAAAATAATCCATCTCAATATATCTCCCTTTACTAACAGAATGATTGTTGCAGCAGGGAAATAAACACAGCCAGTGTGCTGTGGAAGAAGAATACTGAGGAGGAATGTCCCAAAAGAACAAAGAAGGAAGTCTGGGACAAGATTTTTTCAGGATGATGGCACTTAAAGAAACCATGGATGGATTCAGAGGGATTTTTTTCCTGAAAGTTGGTGAGACTTTCTTTGTGAAGGAGAATAAAATAGAAGATGCTTCTAAATGATGTTGCAGAAGAACAGTTTTGGTTAACTTGTTAGGAACCATGATGACTGAAAGCTGTGTTGCTTCTTCATGGAGTTAGTAAAGAGCATCTCCTTCCAAAGAAACAAAATTTGGGACTGTAATAATTTTATTTGCTTTTCTGGCTCCCATTGAATGTTCTTCTCATGTAGCCAATGGAAATCCCTCAGTGCAAAGAAAAAGTCTTGTGAAAACAGACTGTAGATGAGATTTAAACAAGGCCTCACCACTGAGACATTTCCTCTCTCAACCACACAAGAATCCAAAGCACAGAGGGTCTAAACAGGGGCAGACAAAGGCAGTCAATGATCTTAAAAAATTAGTGTGAGGTAAAACACAGCTAAATAAAGAAAGGCCTATTAACTAATCAATCAACAACTGAAATCTAAAAGGCTGAACTTCTAAAAGACAGGAATTGGGAGTCAGCTGATGTGCACTGAATAGAATGTTAATGGAAGCTTCATATTATTCATACTTGTATCACCAATTATCAAGGCTTTTAAAAGAGGACATATTTGCCAGACAGCTCGGATCCAAATTTCAAGGGAAATCTCTACAGAGCTTAGATGCCTAAATATCTTCTAAGGATGTAGGTGTATGTCTAAGGGTAGTAAGTAATTTTTATGGATTAACCACAACAAATCAAACTACAATAAGCAGATTTAACAAAGCACAAAATCTCCTGAAGTGCAGGTCTGACCTTGCTTCAACTTTGTGCAACTCCACCATTTCTCACCACATCACCTGGATGTGCAGACAAAGAGGCTCCTCCTGGTTTATGCTGCCCTCAGTAAAACCACACTGATGCCAAACAGACACTTCCAAATAATTTCCAGGATGAATTGCTAATATGCCTTATTATGCTTCACCATTTGCCCAATTCCTTAATAATCTTCTCTAAATGAGACAAAATTTCATAGGAGAAAGAAACATGTCACAACCATTCATTCCTATTTTTATATCTTCCAAAGAGGTTTGTAAGAGGATTCATTCATTTGTGTCTCTTACTATGCCCAAGTGAGTTCCTTTTCAAACATGAACTCAATATTGCATTTAGTTTTCTAGGCTAAATGCAAATGCATCTTTCTAACAAAAATGTATAAACACATCTAGACCCAGAGGACATTTCTTTTACTTGGAAAAGTCAGTCAGAAGAGTACTGGGAAGGAAACCAGCCAAAGTATTGCCGGAACCAACTTCAAAGGAGTCCCCTAACAAGGCACGCTGACACCAGCAGCACAAGAATAAATGACTGGCAGAAGGAAATCCACAGAGCTGGAAGACAGGCGTGGGTCAGAAGTGATGGATGGATCCCTGTCTCGAGCAGTTGGACCGAGTCAAAGTGATGGATGGTCACAAGCAGAAGACACGTCCCTTTCCCCACCCTCTTCCAACAAAACCCCAAGGCCCCAGAAACCAGCGTTTCCACCTTGAGTGGTCATCAGGAGCTTTCCCAAAAGCAGCCCAGCCCTAACAGAACCAGCCTCTGGACACCTAAACCCTGCTGGGTGTGAAGGTTCTGAGCTCAGCCCCTCGCTGGGCGGTCACAGGTGGCGATGGCTTTCCGTGGAGCGGCGCTGGCACGGCCCCTGGCTGGCCCCTGGCCGGCCCCTGGGTGGCCCCTGGGTGGCCCCTGGGTGCCGTGGCCACCCTTGAATGCCTGGGGGCTCTTGGGAAAGGCCTCACCTCTGGGTCCTGTAATGACAGGTCGATGGTGCTGTGTGAAAGCCGTTCCAAGGGAGGAGGTCTGCGAAGGCGAGGGACTGCTGAAACCAGACTTCTCTGACTTCTTTAATGTAGTTGGCGATGGCATTCCTGGCAAGAATGATTGATAAGTGCAATTTAATAATGCTAGGTCATGGAACGACAGCCTATGCATTGTGAAAGGGGGTGCAGAAGCAGCTAGACACACTTAAAGGACAAATGAAATGCAACACAATAGCAAGCTGAAAGCTCACTTTTGTTTGTGGGTTTGGTGTTTTTTTTTTTTTTCCAAGGCAGAAGCAGCCATGGTTTGCTCTGAGCCATGAGTACTAAAAGGCAGCCATATTTTTCTTATAAATGTGAAAAACGGATAAGATGCAGCTTATTATTGCTACTGAAACCTACTCTGCTTTATTTTTAGAAATCTGTAATAGCTGGAGCATTTGGATTTTTACAGTTTTTTTTATGAGTTCTGTCTTTCACTCCTTGGTTTAGTAGATTATTGCAAATGGATCTTTTAAATGTGCCGCACGACTCAAGGCACAAGTAGAGAATGGAGTTCTCTGAGTTCAAACTCTTCCTCCCCTCACTCTCTTGACTTCAAAGGTATTTGAAAGTTATACGTTTACGTGGTTCCCTTTTGCTTTCAAATTCTTTTTTAAAGGGTGAATGGTATTTATGTCCTGATATTAGAAGCTGCACTGGAATTATTTCAGAGTTGTAATAATGCCCTTGAACTGCATCAAAGGCTCCCAGTGAAAATCAGAGTTAAGTTGTCACTGGGTGAAACCTCTGCCATGGGCAGGCAGAAATGGTGTGGTTTGGTATACAGGGTAAGAATAACTCCTGTTGATGCCATAACAAGGCTGTGGTATCAAAAAAAAAAATTAATGGAATGAACACATTGCAACAGGCTTTTAAAACCTGAGCCTTTCCTGTGTATGCTTGGATGAAAGAATTTTACAGTACATAAATGAAAAGAATGCGTTTGTCTGTACTAGCCTGTATTTTTGCAGTTCTAGATGCATCTGGGTATTCTGATTATCAGAATGTATTCTGAAAACTCAAAATTTCCAGTATATACAGCCCATTGGGCATTCTGCATATCCATAGGGATATAGCAAAACAAAGGTGGAGGTTTCAGGTGGAAAAGCAAAATATCAGGTAATGTGCAAGTTGAACTTCCACTAGTAAAGTAATTTAATTTTATTTCCAACTCTGTGTTTTATAGTATTTAATTGTTAAAAAAGTAAAGAGGGAGGCCTGGACAAGATTATCTTTGAGCTATATTATTAACTTTATATTTAATAAGACTAGTTTTATAGTCCCTGGGATGTTGATTGCAATATGCAGGAGCCTTCTTGTACTTTATACTCTGCACTGCTGGGTCTTAATGGTTTCAGTGAGGCTTTGGAGTTTATATTTCTGTAAGTTAAATAAAGAAAGGGAATGGTTTGAGTTCCAGTGTTGTACTTGCAGCTTTCTGCCTCGAAACTTGTTTGCTACAGGGTTTGCTGTTATGGTGGCTTTTTCCTCATAGTAAGAAAGGTTACAGACTTAACCTTTTAAAAATCAAAGCTTAGAACTGACTATGGTGCAAAAAAAAATATTGGGTTGGGGTTTTTTATTTTTTTATTTTCATGTGGTCTTAGGGACTTTGGAGTAGGAACAAAAGCAAAGAGTGGTTCAGTTTCGGGGGAAGACAGAAAAGGAGATTGAACTGAGGTGTTTCAGTGAAATATTCCAGTGCAGCCTGCTGAATTTCTGCTCCAGTGGGATGTAACTTAGCCATGGCATGTCCATATTCAGGACAAGGGCACTCAAAGGAATTAACAGTGCTGCTGACCCAGATTTCCATATGATGGAAGAACTGGGGATGGAAACACCAAAGGAATGTCAACCCCAGCCCTAAGTGTAAAATACTACGGACAGTCCAAGTGACTTTTATGCACAGGGAAGGTCACTAAAATTTTCCAGCATGGGAGCTGCTCCAAGAGCAAGGTCGTGCAGCCCATGAGCAGGGACCCAGGTGGGACATGAGTTACCTGAGCCCTGGGCAGGTGACAGAGGTCAGGAGAGGAGTGAGATCTCAGCTCTATGGCTCAGCTGGCTCAGGAGCTCCCTGCTTTCCCCGACTACAAACCCTCTTCAGGGTTATGGCAAAGATAATAAAGCCTCTAAAAAAATGAAACAGCTTTTCTTTTACCCCTGTGTTAAAAAAAAAAGCCCTGCAGGACTGATCTCTAAACCACAGCAGGGAGAAGGGGCAGAGGCAGTGGAAAATGGTTTAAAGCTGCAGCAAGTTCGTGTGATTGTGTCCAAACACTGGAACTTGAGGAGCTACAAAGAAGCTGATGAGTGACCTTGAGTGTGGCAATGCTGAGCAGTGTCATGTTCATATGGGGATGGGTTTTATAAGGTCGAGGCAGAGGCTTTCATGTGAAAATAGAGATTTTAATGTAACCCTATGCAGGGAAATTGGGTAGAAAAACAAACTGAGGAGCTGATAATTGGTTGCTACTCTTGCTCTATTTGTTTGTTATCGTTGTGATTGCCATTATTATCACAAGTTTGGTTCATTTATTTATTTTTTTTTTCCCAGGGTATTTTGAAATGTATTGGTTTGGAACAGTCCAACTATACCATGTTTTTGTTTTGTTTGGGGTTTGTAATGACACATTTTATTTTGAGTGATCACATCCATCACATCTCAAGAAAAAGATGGCTGCTTCCTAGTTCAGGAGAATATGCAAACAGGAGCTTAATTACATCACTTAATATTGACCAAGAGAAAGAAGAAGATGAGCTTGCCAGCTCATTTCCAAAGCATGTTTTGTCCTTTAAGAGGGGAGGGTATGACAGAAAGTTAGGCAGTGCAAAGCAATTAGCATCATTCACATTTTATGTTGCGCTAGCGTGGTGCTCTAGCAGCAAAATTCAAACATTCTTTGAATGGGTTAATAAAAGAAGAAATACAGTCGGCATGCAAGAAAAAGGTTTCCAAGAACAAGCCAAAATATGTCCCATTCTTCTAAATTTATCACAGCCATGTCACATTATCCTTGAGACTGCCAGGAATGTCAATTTTTTTGCAATTTAAAAAAAATATCTCATTTAGCACCATATGTTTGGTTAATGTGCCTGATATATCCTGCGTATTCTTTAGTCCATCCAATTCTAATACTCATTTTCTTTATTTTTTTTCTTTTCCTCCCCTTGCCATATGTTACAATGCTGGTCACTCTATCGAAGCTCCTTTCGGGAGCTGAGAGCGAGGGGACTCTTGTTTAATCACCCAGAAAAAACTTTGAATTCTACAAGTCTCACTTAGGTGAGCAGTCTCAACACTTGAGTTAGTTGTAGGTGCCTGGTGCCTATGAAAATCAAGCCACCTATGAGGTGGCACAGTGTATATTGACTATGAGGAAGGAGCTAAAGGTAGATGGCTAAATATTGAATTAGGTGTTTAATTTCTGGCACCCACGTTTGAGACTCTTGGCTAGTTTTAAGGGTCTTCTGCTCCATACCTAATGAGTTTTAACACATTTAGCGGCCCCCAGTCCGCAGGGCCCCTCCTGTGCTGCTCAGGGATGCAGGAAATTAAAAAGTTAAGGCTGAAGGTGGTAGCTTGGGCAAAGCTGGGGATGCATCCCGGGAGGGTGGGAGGGTGGTGCTGCCTTGCATGGCTTTCCTCAGCATTGGTCCCGGGGGCCAGTGATTACTGGGGACCACTGCACTGGAGACCAGATTGCAGCACTTCACAGCACCCTGAGGAAGGGGCTGTGCCAGCTCTAAGGACACCTCTGAGTCCCTGCTCTCCTCTCTCTGCTCTCTGGTGCAGGGCAGCAGCAAATTACAATCTCCCCCAGCCCGTCTCAGCTGCGCTGGCCGGTGGAGAGGGAATGCAGCCAAGGATCCTCCCCGTTCCCTGCCTCTTTCCATCCATCTGCTCTGAGCAAGGAATAAACAAGAACAGCCAGAACACAACGGCTGGGTAACCCAGGTGGGGGTTAAAAGTGTTCCTCACTATTCTATGGATAGGACTCTTGTCCAAATCACAGTCACACCTGGCACTTTTAGGAAGCACAGCTTTCAGAATCCAGGTCTGAGTCTCCTCTGAATGTTATTTAGAGTGAGAGGGAAGAGAATCAGACTTTGTCTATTTTCATCTTATGGCAGCTTTTAACTACAGAATAAATGGAGAAGTTAATTGCTAAATAAAAGAAGAAAATAAAGGGATTTGTGGCATAAAAAGCAGATGGAAGTCTGAGTGGGTGTGTTACTTTAACTTACTGTACTTGTGTTCATGTGATTCTATATGTATGCCAAACATATATGGTCTGAGCCTGCTCCCATTAACATAAATCTGCTTTATTCGCTGGACAGAGGGAACCTGATCAAAGACCATGATGGTGCTAAATGGAACAAGATGTGTACTTTCGTATTTTTTTCCAAAAGGAAATATTAATTTGACATCGGTTTTTCAGTTGAGAAGAATTTTAATTGCAGTACACAATAAGCAGAAAATTCAGACAACAATAATCTTGAAACTGTTAGCAGCATTATATTTCTATCAAGGAATTTGTGTGCTTTTTCAACATTAGAGCTTTCTGAATTTTCATTAATTTGGCATTTCCCTAAACACACGAGTTATTATTTTGTTCATTCCACATCATGCATCACACCCTTCTGCTCAAATGCATAATGCAAGCGCAAATGGGATCCTTGTCCTTGGGAGACTCTGGTTACTGGAGCCATTGGATGTTGAAGTCCCGCAGAAAGACTTTCCAAAACTCTGCACTTCGCAAACCTCCAGCCCAAGTTTAATCAGTGAGTGCACGGGAAAACTTCGTGTTCCTCATCTTCTAAGGGGCACTGGAGCATTGTGGTGGCTTTAATTCCTCTACCTCCTTATGTTTGCCAGTACTAGAAACGCACCACATAAGAGTCTTCCTTGAGTACAGCTAAAGGTCTTCAAATGTTCATGTATGAGGCTGATATATATTTAAATGGACCAGAGAATGATGCGTGAGAATTGAATGCACAAATCCTCCCCAGAACAAACAAGCATCTTTTCCATGTACCTACCACGTGCCTTGCTAAAAAATCAGCATTAACTCTGATGGAGTGAACGGAGTCACAGCAAGAGGAGAACAATCCCCCTTCTCTCCAAATCTACACCTCAAAATCCATCCAATTTCACTTGATTAATTACTGACATTATTCTGCCTGCACACATCTCACACAATGATTCCATCTCTCATTAGCTACATTGGTAGACCAGCTCATATTCATCTCCAAAGACCTTTGGATAATTACCCCAATATTCCCAGTAGCTCTCTGCCACTAGACTCTTGATGGAGATTTCACAACAAAAGCTATGAGTGAAACATGGTCTGGACCCTCTTTCCCAAGGCACACTAGGAAAAGGAATCACAGAAGCTCAGGTATTACCAGGTGGATCATGAACTCGACAACATGCAGAACAAACAGATGATGCAGAAAAACAAGTCGGCTGTTGAAGAAAAAAACTGATATATGGGAAGCATTTTCCAAGGAATTTTCATCCTTCTGTGTGAGTTATTCCAGCAATTCCACTGAAATCAGTATCAACAGAAAGGCTGATCAGCTGCTATATTTTTTTTTTTAATTCCTGGCGAATTCTTAATTCCAAGCTTCTTGAAACGTTGACGGCTACACTCCTGCCAGTCATAGTAAGTCTGTTCAATTTAGTGCTGAGCAAACTTTGTCATCAGCCGAGATACGATCACACTGACTGCCATCCATCAGTTTACTGTATTAATTGCTCCAGTATACACAAAATACAACACAGATGGAAATTCACTCATCCTAATGAAGTGCTCTTTAGTTTTCTACGTTCTGAATGGGTACTGGCTCCCCTGGTTGCAGACAGAGTTACCGTGATCGCTGATTAACTACCTGCCAGCAGAGCACCTCGCTTCACGAGGCTAAATCCAGCTTAATAAACAGTGATTTTTACAGAAGAAAAATGAAAGCTCCCCCTCTATCCACTTATCAAACTGCTGCATATGCATCACCAACACACACATCCAGTTTCCTCAGAACTCGACATCTGACAGATCATCAGGAAAACAGAGCTAATCTATCCGTACCCATCAACATCGTATCATAGGTGACTGCCAGATACTTAAGAAGCCATCCAAAAGAAATGTCACAACTCTTTTTCAAGACACTACAAAAGAAATGTTCCAAATAAAATAAAACAAATGCGCGTACAAGTAAATGAGCCAAAGAACTTAATAAAAAGAGATTGATTAAAATGAGGACCAGAATGTTCAAAAAGGACTGAGAGAGAGAGAGAGAGGTGCCAAAGGCGCATTAAATGGATTCAATGGCTTTAGGTTTTAAATGCTTTTGGACTCCTCAGCAATTTTTAGCCAAAAATGATAATTCAAGTTAGAATCAAAATTCTGATGTCACTTAGGGAAAAAGAAGATTGATATTTCTCCTTCACAAATGAGCATAGATCCATTTACGAAGGAGAAATATCAGCTTGTAGTGAGGGACAACCTTGCCTACAGAATTTTAAAGCCGAGCGCTACAATATTCACAATTATTTTAAAATCCTACCCCATGAAAGTCTGCCTAAATTGTTTGGTACAACGATCTCACAGAGTGTATTACCTTGTCTGTTTGTATCTGTGTTTACAGCATCATCTGGATTGTTTTAGGTCGCTTAAGTTAGGCTTCATTCCTGCTCTGCCACCCAAGCAGTTCTTTCAATATCTAATAAACTAGTACTCAACATCTTACCAATTCCTTCAAAACATAATTCCATGAGTTATATATTTAAAAACTTTAATGAGAAGGGCAATAAACAGCAGGATAACAGTTCAATTCTGCCTTTGTGTTAATGTCAGCTTCGGCATAATTTTCCATTGTATAAATATGTATTGAAAGAAGAATAAAAAAAATAAAAAATTTCTAATGACGTCTTTAGACATCTCGTCTAAAATTCATGACTACATTTGTTTCATTTCAAATGCTACTTGAGAGTTTTTCAGCACACTTGGCAGATTAGATATAGCAGCAGGGACAAACTGCAGCCATCCATAGGAGAATATACCTTTATGTGGGTGCTTTGGGGATGGAACATCTATAGCTGCAAGGCAAAAAATGCCATCATAAATTTGGATGGCATTTACAAAGCCCTCTAAAAAGTCTTTGCATATGATTATAGCTGAGGTATGATATTTTTGCAAGTAAAAGACCCAGAATAGATTTATGTTTCAACTATATCTTCCTGAGATGCATATGGATCCTAAATTGCGAGTGATACTAAAGGGAATCTTAGTAACTGAAGAGGATGGAGTAAAATTTTGGGGGTTTAACTTATTTATTTAATTTTCTTAAAAATCATTTGCTCATTATTTGCATGTCATCAAACCACCATTGGCTACCCAGGCTATATATAACAATGATGGCTGCTAAATGCCCCAGGCATGAGATGGAGATGGGTAAATATGCAGATTTTCTCGACTTGTGACCTCAGTTACTGCATGGTAATGTTTTCAAATGACTTTTATGATGACAAGACTAAGTTTGGTGCTAATATTGGTTTTGAAGATTTAATCGGTGTACACTGCCATTGAACATGTGTTTTCATTAATAGAAGAGCTGTGGCCAGGATTGAAAATAGCCCAGGTGATTTACCACGGACTGTAAAGCCACCTGATTTGTGCACAATTTGAGGTGAAGAGTTTATAGGTTATTCCAAAGGAAGAAAGAGCTGCAAACTGAATTTGTGTGCATTGTACCAAGGGATTTACAATTTGGCAGGTCGAGAGTGTACTCATGGAACTGTTACGTTTTGGTACCCAGTGGTTCTTGGTGTTTTTACCCTCTGACTGCCCGTGTTTGACAGCCACTGAACACTCCATAACACCAGGAATAATTTGTAGCTGAGCTACAGCTGCTGTGCTCCTTCCTGGGAATGCCCGTGTCCAGTTGCACCCTGGAATGGCACTGGGGCCAGCAGCTCCCAGGCAGAGAGACTGAAATTGCTCCCACACAGGTGATATCAGACAGATGGGACCAGCCTTCCTTCTCTGCATTCCCAGTGCTCCAGGATTCCCTGAGGGAAGGCAGAGCACGGCAGTTCGGCTTTGGCATCGCTTCCAGAGGAGCCTGGACGGCCCTGCTGCCTGCAGGTCTGCTCCTGGGAGCTGCCCAAACCCTCTGCCACCCACTGGGCAGGTGAAAACACACCTGGCAGAGAGGCAGAGGGCTCCCAGGGAAAATCCCCCTGCGAGATCCATGAAAACAGGCACGGCAAGGGCAGAGGTGACATGTGAGTGCTCCCTCCAGCGCTGGCACTCTGGCAAAGTGCTTGGCACAGGCTCTGTCCTTACTAGACACCGGAGAATCCACACCAGAGGGGACACCTGGGACATCCCCCCCAACCAACACAAAGACTCTGTGCACCGAGAACGAGAGCATTGGCATTGTTTGAATAAGCACACCCACCATGAAGTGCTCCGCGGTGTTCGGGGTTTCTTAGATATCCTGATTTTATAAAAGAAAGTAAAAGAAGAAAAAAGAAACAAGGTGAGAGAGAACACTATCATATTTTGTAGCAAGCAGGATACTGTGTGAAATCTTGGCCCAGTGAAGTGATAAAGGGGAAGCTTTCAGTTTGTTTAAGGGAAAACTTAGGAGCAAATAGCGAAATTACCAAAATACCACATTGCAGAAAGTAGGTGCATTTAGGTTCAATTAAGCTGTAAAAAGGAAAATGGCACTTTAGCTTACAAAAACCAAAGGACACAGGGAACTATCAGAAACAACTTTATAAGATTTGTGTGTGTGAGGATGCTGCTTCACTGGACCAAGAAAGCTACAGTATGGGACAGGATTTTTCTTTTATCAGACACTTTTGCTAGATAGCTTTGTCCAACCTCAGAAACTGCTGCTCTGGCATTATGAAATAATCCTACATAACTTGATCTCATGAGCTTAGGAACACAGAAAAATAGCCATGCCAAATCAGATTACAGGGATACACCTAGTCCAGAATCCTCTCCCTGACAGTGGGAACTAGTGGACGCCTAGAAAAGAGTAAAAAACCAGGGAAAGCATACAGTGGTAATTCTCCAAAACACTCTCCCAAATGATTTGTGATTCAAGGACTTCTAGGACAAAGTTGATATCATGGTATCAAAGCTGCTCGAATCCAAATGCACAGATTTACATCCCGCCCTCCTCCCCTTTTTTTTTTTGGATTTCTACCCCATGAGATTTCTACCAGTCACACAGAAAAGGTTTCACAGTTTGGTGCTGGCAAGTCCAGCATTCTTGCCACTAACTCAGAATGAGCTAACAGCTTTCAAAAGCCCAATGATGTTATGTGTATAAGAGCATCCAACACTTTTTCCTACGTAAAAAAAGTGACATGTGTGCTGAGGTGCTCTAAGTGTAAATACTTTGGGAGATTTGATTTTTTTTAATTTTTTTTTTAAATTATTTTTTTTTAAAGAAAAAAAAAGCAAGGATCTGGCTGTAAATTGATATTAACATTTTTCAGTATATGTGTAAAACACATGTTTCAGAAGAATAGAAGAGAGAAACTGTCACTCACTGGGAAGCTTTAGAGCTATCTGGCTCCCTGGGAAACTGCATGCAACTATTCTGGTGTCCAAGGGTTTGACCAGTGAGTTTCCTCTTCCTGCAAAGAATGAATGCAGAAGTAATAGAAAGTCTGAGGGGGAAGATTTTAGCAAATGGCTAAAGGTAATTCCTATTCTGCCCACTCCAGCAGGTAGGAAAGCAGGTGGTGGAGGTGGAAGAAAAAGGGTGGGAGAGGAGAAAGGGCTCCGTGTCCCTCCCAGGAGCTGGCACAGGGAAGGGCAGGGGGCTGCACTCGGGGAGACCCAAAGCCCAGCAGCTCAGCCTGGTGAAATCCCTTTGTGTGTGGGCAGCCCAGTCCCAGCCCTGCCACACAATGTCTGCACGTTCTGCTCTGATTCTCCGGGGCCTGCCTGGGACTCCCTTTCAGGGACTGAAACTCAGCACTCTGGGCTTCACTAGCACAGAAATCCCATCTTTCCAGCAGGAACACTGGCTTCTTAAACATCCTGCTTAGTGTACTATCCACTATTCAGGGGCGTTTTTTAGAAAGTTTTAATTTTCTAATCGAATCGGTGCCTACACATGACTTTTTTACTTCATTTATTAAAAGAATCAGTAAAAGCAGGGATCTGGGAAAAAAAAGCTTATCCTTACGTTTTTGATGGAATATTGACTTTGTAAGAGTCTACAGGCAGGAGTGATATATCAGGGAATCCCTATAACTTTACTTAAAGCAAAAATTAGAAAGTGATCGGAAAGTTTTATAGAGGAGAGCAGAAACATAATTTTAAGCCTCTTAAAATTGCCTGAACTGTGAAATCAAGTAATGAACACTAGAAAAGGATCTGTCAGCTGGAATCAAAGCTTAGACTAGTCAGCATTTTCTTCCTAAACCTTATTATGGCAAAGATTTTTCATCTCTGCACTCTGTTCAGCCCAACAAATAAACCGACTTGACCTCCACCTGTTACCCGGTGAAGTTTGCTGTCATCTCTGACTAAACCCTTTTCTTTCCCTTCAAAGCCCTCGGCACCACTGAGAAGGTGGGAAGACACAGCTGTGCACTGACTCAAATTGATACCAGTTCATAACCAGACAGCGTTTCACAGTACAAATTACAAGCAACAGAGGAGAGGAGAGAGGGAGGGGGAAAAAAGGGAGGAAAAAAAATGTAGTGCCAATGAATTCTGGAAGGGGGCAACATTTTTCATCCATTTAACAATGAGATTTTCATAAAAAGAAGTTATTTTTCTGGGTTGGTTTTTTTGTTTTGTTTTGTTTTGTTTGGTTTTGTTTTTTTGGTGTGTGTGTGTGTGTGTGATATTATGGACTAGCATTTGAGGCAAGAAGCATTTTGCTTATGCCATAACAATGAACCTGTGCTAACACCACAGAGGAAGGACTGAAGAACATAATGGAAGCTATTTGTGTTGCTTTTATATTTCATAACTTGAATGCATTACACTGGTTCAAAGGGGCTCAGCTCCAATTGCACATAGGTTTCTAGACTTAGGAACAAGTCACAGCTATATAATGCAACACTGCTAAATAAAAAGAATTCAATATTATGGAACACAGAACAGCAAGAAATGTGTCATGAGGCAACCCGTGTAGCTGCTGCAGTCATTTCTTCAAATATATCATCGTGGCAAAACCGTGTGAGAAGCTTTCTAATACAAAGACATATCAGAAAAAAGCCATTTCATATAAAGTTGGACTTCTCTGGGTGATTAATGCTACGTTCAACAAAGGAGACAGTGTCTGTCTAATTACATTAAATACTTATCTTCTAGGGATTGGCAGGGTGTTTCTGCTCAATGTCACTTTTCATGACAATGTAATGATAGATCCGTTTACTTACCAGTGCCATTAGCAAAAATTGTACTGTTTTCTCAACTGCCCTCATATCATGAAAATATTTGATTAACATACTGCAGCTTATCTAATACTCTAAGCAACATATTCTGCATAGTTTTCTCTCTATTAAAAGAACAAGATTACAGCTTGTAAAATTTTTATTGCACTCACACAGAAATAAATGAATAATGTGTGATAATAGTTCAAGTACCTTTCTAGTTCACAGAACAGGTTTATTTGATTTAAAATATTAACTTGTACTTAAAATATTAAGATTTTGGGGGAAACAAGCAAATAAACAAAGTCAGTATTCTGAGGCACTACTTCCTATCCAGGCTTTAGTTATTATTTCCTTTTCATTTCAGCACATGTTTTGAAACTTTTAATACCTTAGGGGAGGGGGGGGGAGGAAAAAAAAAAGGAAAAAAAGCTTTCATTCCTTTGCTGAAAAATAGATATGGCCATCTCCCAAGTCTTTAAAATTCACCACATTGTGAACTGAGTCTTCGGAGTCATGCTACTGTGCCAACATCCAGCAAACAATAACCCTCTGGAAGAATGTACCCAGCCAAGGCAGTTTATATAGTAACAAGATAATTTCATAAACTTATATTGAAGAGCGAGGCTGTGATGTAACATTCTAGCAGTATATATCAGCTACCTGATATTTACTAACAAGGTTAAACTCCTATCTGTTTGTCTCAGCACTCTTCATAATTCACTTTTTAATGGATGGACAGGAAAAGTCAGCAGTGTATGGCACAGATCATTTTTGAAATAGGACAAGACAGCTTATGGCAGTAGCTGCTCCAAAACACCCTTCCTGTTCCCACACAATCACATCAAGCCTGGACTTTGCAACTACAGTGCTTCATAAATCCTTCAGGGGTGTGTTTCTATTTCCAAGTAAACTGGTGAATCTGAAAAACAAAGGACTCCGAGGAGGAGGTGTCACTGTCACCTGGTGCCACGCACAGAGCATCACTTCTCGGTTCTCAGCTGCTTGGGCTGGTGCTCCTGGGCAGCAGAAGTGGGGAGTGAGGACATCCACCCCATTTTGTTCCAGCTCCTCACGCTGCCACGAAATGGCAGCAAGGACGCACCAAAAACGGCACAAAAATCCACACAGCCATGCAGAATCCACCCAAACTGCCTTAAAATCCCTTGCAAGTGACTCTTGCAGCCAGAGGATGACACCACAGCCAACTGCCACATGCGACTCTCCAAATTAATAATGGATTTAGGATATTCATTCCCTGAGCTGCGAGGGTTCGGGGTGTGTCTGTAATTATCGAGATATAAGTCTGACACACATTATCCTTCTATCAATGTCATTTCCCTTAGTAGCCAACAGATTATCAGCAGCTTTGTGATATTCCAGGTGTCAAAGAAGAATTAAAACCACAACAATTGCACAAACAAAGGGACAAAAGATGGGATACGTGTTTCTGAGCCCTGCATATCAATTTAATATGTGCAGCTGACAATGATGCAAATGTCCTCGGGAGAGAGGCAGCAAGATCCGTGCCCAAACATACACACACCACTGTCAGCAAGATGGCAGGGAACAGAAGCAGTAGGATTCCCAGCCCAGGACACATGCCTCAGCAGGCAGAGCAACCCAACGAAACAATCCTCTGGTTGGGGAGAATTTTGGAAGCACCTGATATGGAAAAGGGCCCTAAACAAGCCAGATGGTACTTTTAGCTGGCAGCAGAAAGTAGGAGACAGCCAAAAACATTACAGCATTTCCCCAAGAGGCCAGCAAATCGATTTTTAACCATTTTTTTTTAAAGTGATGCTAGGAATATGAAAAATAATGTTTCGATGTCTTTTTAAATCGCTAATTATATCAATAATACACTTATGGAGGACACAACTGGAAGATAGGAGAAAGAAATAGATTCTGACTTTCCCAGGGTGGTTGTATATTTGACATCAAGTTTCTATTCAGTCACTGCCACTGTTTACTCAGAATTAAGTGTCAGTTTTTGTTCTGGGCTTTCCACATAACATTAAAGAGGAAAATCCAGCAGAAGTAGAGAAATAGCACTGTAAAATCACAATAGCACAACAGTTCA